GCAGGCTGAGGCAGTATGACAAAACACAGTATGACCTGCCATGTAGTAGCTGGTGACTGCAGGAGAGCCCCTTCTTCCTACAGTGTCTCTCCAGGGCCCTCTACTATAAAAGCTTAACATTGTGCTGACTTTAAAGGAGAAATAATGAGGAATTCCATCCATATCACTGAGCACATAAAGATGGATTTGGAACTTATAGCAATAAGTTTGAGGGCAATAAAGTTACTAACAGCACAGCACTCAATGAGGAACATGATGTTCATACATAGAATATTAACCTGTTTTAAAATGAATTTCCTGAGATGATAGGAACTGACTATTGGAAAAAAGAAGACAAAATTTTCTGGATATACGTTTACTTTCCAAATAAATCAAAATTGCTTAAAAACAAACCAGAGCGGCTGTAAATTCAGGCTGAAGCATTTCCAAAAAGATTTCAGAAGAGCCTGGGAATGTAAAAGCCCAGTGGATACATTCGCCAACTTGACGCTGCCTGAGGAAGCTGAGCTGAAGAGCATCTCCCCAGGGCAGTGTGGCACCAAAAACAATAACAGGTCACACGTTTCTGAAGGCATTGTAGCTTGCCACACTTTTCACACATTTGTCTAGGAGACAACAAGTCTATGAGAAAATCTGTCTTTGCCCATCTGGGCTGCTATCACAAAATAACAGACTGGGTGGCTTATAAGCAATAGAAATTTATTTTTTATAGATTGGAGGCTGGGAAGTCCAATCTCAAGGGGCCAGAAGATTCAGGGTTTGATGAGGGCCACTTCCTGCATCCTAGATGGCATCTTCTGCTGTCTTCACACGGTGAAGGGACCTCTTTTCTAACAGCACTAATTCCATTTGGGAGCTCAGACCTCATGACTTAATCACCTCCCAGAGGCCCCACCTTCTAATACCCATCACCTTGGTTATTAGATTTCTAACAGATGAATCGGGGCATACACACACATTTAATCAGTAGGCAGGCTGACATTATTAGCCCCAATGGGCACAGGAGGAAACTGAGTCAGAGGCTAGAACTCCAGTCTCCTGATCCAGTGCACTTGCTGGTTCACCTACCCGCCTCTCTAAGTCCTGCTTCAAGTTCCCCTTCGTCCATGAAGCCTTCCTTGACTAACCCCAAGCCAAAATTCTCACTAGGCATTCTGAGAAATTTGTTGCACAGCATTACACATGTCTAAGAACAGTGGTTCTCTAACGTTAGCTGAATATCAGCATTACCTGAGGGCTTGTTAACACACAGACGACTGGGCCCCACTCCCAAGGTTTCTCATTCAGTAGTTCTGGGGTGGGGCCCAAAATAACTCATAAGTTCCCAGGTGATGCCGAAGCCGCTGGTCACGAAACCACAATTTGGGAACCAATGGTTCAGAAGCCAGCAGGTTCTTCACCTGTATTCTAGGTTTGACCTGCGAGTCCAGCAGAGAAGAAGCCAAATCTTCATTTCCTCAAGCAAAGGCTCTCCCAAAGGGCAGACTCTCTTTTTCTGGACGTTCAGAGCCCTGGGGTGCCTAGAGCGACTTTCCTGAGAGCCAACCCATCATTTTAACTTGACCTTTTCATTTC